AAGATCAATATATGAAAAGCTCGTAGACAATGGATCAGTGATGGATAATTATGTCGGATGCGATTCCTCATGCAACAGTTATAACATAGGGTGACACATAACTAGCTCCAGTTCATCAATGTAATGTAGGCATGTATTTCGAATATAGTCATACGTGCTTATGGAAAAGAACTTGCATGACATTTTTGTCCTACCCTCCCGTGGCAGCGGGGTCCTATTGGAAACTAAGGGATATTAAGGCCTCCTTTTAATAGAGTACCGGACCAAAGCATTAACACTTAGTGAATACATGAACTCCTCAAACTACGGTCATCACCGGTAAGTATCCCGATTATTGTCACTTCGGGGTTAACGGATCACAACACATAATAGGTGACTATAGACTTGCAAGATAGGATCAAGAACTCACATATATTCATGAAAACATAATAGGTTCATATCTGAAATCATGGCAATCGGGCCCTAGTGACAAGCATTAAGCATAGCAAAGTCATAGCAACATCAATCTCAGAACATAATTGATACTAGGGATCAAACCCTAACAAAACTAACTCGATTACATGATAAATCTCATCCAACCCATCACCGTCCAGCAAGTCTACAATGGAATTACTCATGCACGGCGGTGAGCATCATGAAATTGGTGATGGAGGAAGGTTGATGATGACGATGGCGACGGATTCCCCTCTCCGGAGCCCCGAACGGACTCCAGATCAGCCCTCCCGAGAGAGATTAGGGCTTGGCGGCGGCCCCGTATCGTAAAATGCGATGAATCCTTCTCCCTGATTTTTTTTCTCACCGGATGTGAATATATAGAGTTGGAGTTGAGGTCGGTGGAGCATCAGGGGGCCCACGAGGCAGGGGGACGCGCCCCCACCCTCGTGGATAGGGTGTGGGCCCCCTGGCCTTGATTCTTTTGCCAGTATTTTTTATATATTCCAAAAATATTCTCCGTTGATTTTCAGGTCATTCTGAGAACTTTTATTTCTGCACAAAAATTACACCATGGCAATTCTGCTAAAAACAGCATCAGTCCGGGTTAGTTCCATTCAAATTATGCAAGTTAGAGTCCAAAATAAGGGCAAAAGTGTTTGGAAAAGTAGATACGTTGGAGACGTATCAAGGGCGAGGGGGATGGCAGGAGATGGAAATCTGGCGCGCCGTCCCAGCGCCAAATTAGCCTCACCCCCTTTCACTCGCTCACCCATAGCCACTGCCCCTTTCTTCCCTACTGCCTCACCACCGGCGGCGGCTACGATTTCAGATCTGCGCTATAGGCCGCGGCGTTTGCGGCGGATCTGGTGCTCCCCTTGCCGTTGGCCACCGTTTGGTCGACATAGTCTGTGTCATGGCTCCCCCTACATCGTCCTCATCTCCGATGCCAGTAAGAAGCACCCCCTCCCCCCTTTGTTAGCTCAGTGGTTAGGCCGTTAAGCTAGGTGTAGGATCGATTTCCCACTGAATGAACCGTCGATGTCGACTAGGTTATGGACGCACGGATGAGGCTGATAATCCAAACAGCAGTACTGATTAGTGTGATTCAGGCATGGGTCATGTTCATGCACGAGAGAGTTGTTCGTCGTGCTGGGAGACCTTTGATCCTCTACGGTCCATTGTTTCCCCGGGAACAGGAGAGGATCCAAAATCTGAGCTACATCTACAACTGCAATGACGTCGGGGCTCTATGGATGCTTCGAATGAAAAGAGCACCATTTGCCAGGCTTGTCAAGACCTTCAGGAGCAGGGGGCTGCTACAAGATAGCATCAACACCAGTGTGGAAGAGCAAGTGGCCATGTTCCTTCATGTTGTTGGCCATAACCAAAGGTTCAGGGTCATTCACAACACATTCAGGAGATCAATGGAGACCATCTCTAGGTACTTCAAGCAAGTGCTTTATGCTATTGGGGAGCTTAGAGAAGAGATGATCAGAAGACCATCTAGTCAGACTCCACCCAAGATTCATGGAAGCCCAAGATGGTATCCATACTTCAAGGTGAGCATTGACAATATACACGTTTCATGGCTTGATTATGCTTGTATTGTTCAAGTTGAGCACTAACACAGGCTTGTGATGCCATTTTCAGGATTGCATTGGGGCAATAGATGGTACTCATGTCACTGCCAGAGTTCCTAGGTCACAGTCTACAGCATACAGGGGGAGGAAGCACTACACAAGCCAGAATGTGCTTGCTACTGTTGACTTTGATCTGAAGTTCACATATGTGCTGGCTGGCTGGGAGGGGTCGGCGCATGATGCTAACATTCTCACTGACAACATGAGTCGACCTGATGGAATCAACATCCACGACGGCAAGTTCTACCTTGGAGATGCTGGCTATGCATGTCGGCCGGGTATTCTTCCACCCTTCAGGAAAACAAGGTGCCATCTCAACGAGTTCTCTGGTAGGAACTATTCTAGGACTACACAGGAGCTGTTTAATCTCAGACACTCCAGCCTTAGAGTAACTGTTGAGAGGGCATTTGGAGCTCTGAAGAATAGGTTTAAGATACTGGATCAGAAGCCATTCCACCCATACTCCACTCAGGTTAAGCTAGTTCTTGCTTGTTGCATTCTGCACAACTGGATCCTCAAGTGGGGCTTTGATGAACACGTGCCTGAGGAGGAAGATGTCGAGCCTGACGATGTTGTTAGCTCCGGTCATGGTGTGGAGGCATTTGACAATGACGCTTAAAAGAACAGAAGGTTGGAGTGGGCAGAGGTGATGTGGCTTAATAGAGGTCAGTGCAGGATTTGAAGAAGATGGAAGAAGAACAACAAGCAGCAGCAGCAGCATCAGCAGTAGCAGAAGCAGCAGTAGAAGCAGAAGCAGAAGAAGAGGAAGAGGAAGAGGAAGATCTAGTAGCAGCAGCACCGATGAACTATCCCCTATTTACCCATTGTCTCTTAATAATTTGAACTATCATTTGATAGTAGTTAGGATGAACTGTCATTTGTTTAAGTAGATGTCGCTACATGTTTAGATTCTGTGTGGTATGCTCACCACTAGTTAGAAGTGGTGACAACACCTTATGCAGGTTGCAACCAAACACCATGTCATATGTGCGCCTAATGCAATGCGGGCAACCAAACGCCGGGTCGAAAATGGTTGTCTCATGCAACTAGGGGCATGTAGGCAACCAAACTATGTGCATCTAGTTTTTTTGGCCTGCATCCCCTCAAACCGGCTCAATAGAGCCAGGCTCGCCGAGCCAGGCTGGATCGGCAATGTAACCAAACACGCCCCAAGTGTTTGGGGACAGCGGCTAGGGTGGCCATTCAACACGGTGTATCAAATGCCTGCCCTATTTCAAACAGATCTTTTAAGAAATGGATGAAGTTCATGCAAACCAGATGATATTTATAAAGAATTGGTATATTTACAACCAAAAGGATGAAATTTAACAAAGTTTAACTAAATCAAACAAAAGTTAAACTAAACAAGTGCGGTACCGAATGGTTGGGGCCACCGGCACCTTCGTGGTTGGCGTTGGCCCAAAACAAAAGGCTCCGCGGCTGGCTAACGCATGGTCCGGTCCAACTAAAAGGCCTCGACATCAACCTCTCTCCAGCCAAGGATATTCTCGAAAGCCATGAATACGACGACCTCGTGACTTCGAGCCCAGACGCGAGAAGAGTCGTGGCGACGGGATCTCAAGGCTGGACGTGGATCCTCTGACTTTCTAATCCCTGCCATACCCTGCCTTTGAGTCACTGACAGGTGAGCCGCATGCGCTATGGGACCCATGTGTCAGTGACTCAAAGGTAGGCTAGGCCACGGCAGGGGATCCTCGTCCCTCGGGGCTGAGGACATGTCCCCTGTCCTGGAGACGCCACACAAGGCTTGAAGACTCTCAAAGGATCGAACCAGCAGGCAGCACATTCATAGAGCCCTTGGTATGCCAAAAGTCAGATGCATGACGACTCTCAAAAGGACAAGAGGAGCCCGTCTGGGTTCTCAACAAAACAATTCTAACTCCATCCATCCATGGGGTTCTCATCGCGCGAGGTACTACTCCACCATAAATAGAAACAAGAAGCAAGGTATTACCTCTCCTCGAGGTCCCGAACCTGGGTAAAACCCTCGTGTTATCTCCGATCTGGTACTTCCGGCCATGTTCGCTGCCTTACCGAGGATACTGGCGACTTTAAGTGCCGTCATGGAGTCGTGGGACGAAAGAGGAGGAGCAAGCCGAGGCGGATCCGACGCCGGAGCAGCCCGAATTTTGCATCGAGGACGTGTTGGTGAAGTTTGAGGTCGCCAGTGGAGCAGCAGACTATCCTCAAGTCCGTCCAGTTTCAAGCGGAGGTGGCGGCGAACCGCCGCTTCCTCCACGAGGCAGAAATGGAGCGTGCGCAGCTCTTCCAGGATGAGAAGGACGCGCTGGAGTTTCGCCCCGCTGCCAATGACCACGAGGGCAGCGGCTCCGGCTAGAACGTCATCGACATTTCCAATGACGAGTAGAGTAGTTAGTTTTCTTTTTTTAGCCATGTTACCTATGCATGTAGATGAATTTCACGGTTGCACGTAGTAATATGAATATAAGGATTAAGACACGAGGACTATGGTTGCAGTGTCCGCGACATGAAGGGTGATCGGTCATTGTCCGTGCACGCACGTGCTTGCAGACGTACAGTGGCCCGGATTTGTGATATCCGATGGTAGATGCTGTCAAAGGAAGGCCATCTAATATATTTTTCTTTTGAAAAGAACGTCATTTGATCTAGGAGACTAGGATAATGGGCCCAAGGATTTTGTACTGAGGCTTTAAGTCAGTCAGTAGTCTTTTCTAGTAGTATGGCCCAGCACCTTTCTTTCCATCCTCCACCGTCCTCTTCACCCACTCCTAGCCCCTGTCACTCACTCTGTCACACTCACAGACTCACAGTACCCGAGCTTCGAGCTCCTCGGGAATCAAAGAAGAGGACAAGCGAAAGCAGGCGAGCCAGCTGCTTAGCAAGAGCCACGGCAATAGCTCGAGCAGCTAGCTCGAACCATCCATGGGGAATGCCCTGTGGTGCTGCTGCAAGGGAGAAGACGACGATGATGGATATGTCTATCTTGGTGGCGACGATGATCAGCATGCCTACTACTACCCGGCCCCGGCCGCCGTCTCCAGGTCCAGGCCGCACTACCAGCCAGCTGCGGGGTCTTCCCCAACTCAGGGGAGCAGCCTCCGCTGGCCCCAGTCTCCTCCGGCTCCGCCATCCAGGCCCCGACTGCAGCTGCATGCTCCTCCATCTCCTCCTCCTGCCTGCTCAGCCGCCGCTTCGACGAGCAGGGGAAGCCTGACTCTCCGGCCCCAGCCACCTCCGGCGGCTCCAACCCCCAGGCCCCAACGGCAGCTGCATGCTCCTCCTGTGCCTCACGGCGTTCCCTCCTCAACTTCGGCGAGCAGCAGCAGCATCCTCCCGTCCCAGCCTGCTCCGGTTCCAGCCTCCAGACCCCATAAGCGGGGGCCGCAGCAGCCTTCTTCTCCTGTGACCCATGGCCATGGCGTCGCCGTCGCCTCCTCAACTTCGACATGCATGCTCCTCCGCCCCCAAAAGCAGAAGCCGCGACCGCCTCCCCCGATTTCCCATGGCGTCGTCGCGGTCGACTCTCCAGCTTCGACGACGAGCTGCCTCCTCCGTTTTGAGCAAGACCTCCTCAACTTCGTGCTCACCAAAATGGTAACATGCAACTCCCTATCCCCAAGCTACATTATTCTAGATGTATATTTCGAGATGAGTTTTGCTGTTGGGTACCCCCTCCCCCTTCTAAAATTTTGCACGAATGTTAAAGTTGCTTAAAAAGGTTATCGGCATATTAGCATGCAGATCAAATGTATTGAGTAGATTGATTTTGCATGCAAAAGACTATTATCCTCTTTTGTTGAAGGGCTACCTTCTAATCTCCACCTTTAATCTGCATCGAAACCGTAACTTTTTCTAAGAGGATGTACCGAAGCAAAGTTCAAGATGAGATATGTTCGTCACAAAGAAAATGTGTGTAACTAAAATTTTAGTTACTTGACCGTAAGAAAAAAAAGTTACTTCGCTAATTGCAGGGTTTGCTGTAGCACCATACTGTAACACTAGTAGAAAAAGGGGCTTTGGTCCAGCCAGAAAAGAGCATTAATCCCGATTGCATTATGAACCGGGACTAATATGAGCATTAGTCCCGATTCAAGCGGCGAGGGCACCATACATGCATTACTCCCGGTTCAAATGGGACCTTTAGTCCCGGTTCGTGGCACGAACCGGTACTAAAGGTCTCAACCCCATTAGTACCGGTTCGTGCCAAAGTTAGACCTTTAGTACCGGTTCGTGCCACGAACCGGTACTAATGGGGTTGAGACCTTTAGTACTGGTTCGT